TTTAAATTCTAAGCGAATTTTGGGCACGCAAGTTTAATATTATGATAAAGGCTAGAGAAATAAAAACAAAAAAAATATATTTACATTAAAAAACTTTAAAGTAAAAAGGTCGTTGGTATTGCACCCACTTGGTATTACACCCACGTGAAAGGGCTTCAAGTCTCGTTCTCGACACTGAGATTGGCACAGTATTAACAGCCATTTGCCAGTGAAGGATCGCATGTCTAAAAGATGCTATCTAGTTTTCGTCACATCTAATGTTCATCAACCTGCATTTCATTCGTCACCGGAGGGCACTACCAAATAGTGTAAAAGGGCTGTTTTATAAAAAAATATTCTTATATTAATAATAATTTGAAAAATTCATGTAAATATACAAGACCCAAGGATAGAAACCTGCTTCACTTAGTTTTCCAAACGAGCTAGTTTATAATTACTATTTTCTGATCATAATAAACATAGTCTTAAGTCTAGTAGTTGTACAAATAATAATCATATTTTACTTTCAACAAGTATAGAAGAAATACAGTAAAAAAATTCAGCATATTGCTCAAAGAAATTCGTAAATAGAAAAAAACATAGCCTCTCTTTAGGTTACATTGTGTTCATAATTAAAAAAGACAAATGTAAGTACTCTCTGATATTGCAAGACCAATACAAAGTAAAAAAATATTTCAAGTGGAATTTGAACCTATGATATCTGTCAGTACAATAATCGAGAATTTTTATTTTTATGCCATAATCTCTATTTATAAAAGGAATAAAACAAAATCTATTTACAAATCGCTGAATGGTTTGGGTTGGACAGATAGTTATTATGACGTAGGCATTCGCTAAGAACGGATTTTTGAAAAATATACTTACAGGTGAATAATATTCAATATTATAGAACCTCCTCTTTTTGGAAAACGGTTAAACATTCAACCCCTAAAAGGATGAAACGGGGGTTCAAAATATGTATGGAGAAATCACATAAGAGAGATGTATCAATTAGAAAATTCATAAAGTTACTCTTATCAAGAAATAAATAAACACGTGTATCCTGATTTTTCGAAAAGAACCCCATTATGGTAAATAGTCTAAAAATCATACTTGACGCGAGCGAAGCCGCAGGCAAAAGTTTGTTATAACAGATTTAAAATTTCAAGTGATATATTATACAGGGAGCGAAAAACGTTGGCGCAATATTATTTGTGAAATATGGCAAAAAAGTTTCACTTGTTTCATTCATTTTTATAGCAAGGCATTTTTAAATAAAAATAAAATTACACTGAAATAAAGCGTACTCGTAAATATGAAGTCTTTTTTCCCATAAAGCTTCTACATTTGTCAATGGTTTTGATCGATATTGTATAAAGTCATTAATTTATGTCATCAACGAAGAAGATAAAAACATGTCCAGTATAAATGAAAACATGAAAAGATTATTAGCTTTAATATACGAGTATGTATTTAGTAACTTTAGTACAAATAGTGTATCGTTAACATAACATTCTTTCTATTTATGGCGTCATTACAGTTTATCGCAGATTAACTTTTAATTATTTTTTTATTTAATCATTTATTTCAGGAAATATTTACAAAAAGATCTTAAATATGTAAACAGAGGCCCATAACATATATACCTTAAAAAGTAACATATATATTAATTTTAAAACTTAAAAACTATTTAACCTCGGAACTTCCCAAACACGACGCCCTGCGGCCAGAAGTCCTCCTTCATGAAGGTTGGCAGATGATGAGTCGGCACTCTCACAAAAAACGAATTGAAACTCGTTTTGTGGCGAGGTACCAGCCGTTCAACCCTCAACTTAAAGTTGGACTTCTGGGCTTCTTCTTAACGCACGAGTGAATTCGTATATTAATTACTAACCACTTTCCTCTGGCTTTACCCGTATGTTTTATGAGATAAGATTTAAATATATTTCATAAATTTTTCTAATAAATAATCATTATACGTTTTGACAGTTGAAAAAATATTTTTTTTTGGTTGTATTCCAAAAAATCCTTATTGGAAGTTTTCACCATATCGTTCAACTCTAATAGTATCAATGATTTGCTCTGCTATGTTTAGTTATACAGGGTCATTTTTAATTTACTGCAAGCCTTTTGGGAATACACTATTTACAAACATAACAAGAACATCTATAAGAAATTTTTTTATCTTTTAAGATAAATTTATTTAACAAAAATAAAAATATTTTTATTGCACTTTCTCAACGGCAATAGTCCAGCATGAGCAAAAGAAAGTGCGTGTACGGTGGAGGGGGAGAGGTGGAGGGGTGTAAGAAGCCGCGCTTACTCATTTAAACTTGGCCTGATGCTAGAACTTTAAAGTTTAAAAGGTGAAAAAAAAATATTTTTATTTTTGTATATAAATAAAAATTTAAGAAATATTATTTTTTCTTGTTACAGATGTTGTTGTAATGATGTAAATAGTATATTCCCAAAAGGTTTTCAGTAAATTAAAAATGACCCTGTACATGTATATCGATTTTATAGGGAGATTAATTGCTTCTCAGGGACCATCTCAAGGAGCTAAGTTAGCTTAATGAGTAATATTGCGTTTTTAGTTGGAAGTTAGTAGCGTATCATAAATATTGCTAGTTATTATTTGAGTCAAACAATGGTGGAATTTTCTATTTTAATTTGACCTTTTTTCACGGACAAATGAACCAACTGATCGACGTGAGTTTTCATTTATAGGTAATTTATATGCTGGAGATTGAAAAGTATCTATTGAAAATACTTCTGCATTACCATTTTGAAATGCATGCATTTTATCTTATTGATAGTTAAACTTACTTGACCGTCTAATTACAATAACAACGTCTGGGTCTTCCAAACAAATTTGCTGGTACTAATATTGTAAACGCTGAACAGAATTTGGTAAAATTTTGGCATTCGATAAAATCTTGAATATAGATTGTATCCTGGTATGAGATATAGGCTACGCTTGAATCCCGTCCTGCTTATCACACGATCGAAGTCGCAAGCAAAAACTAGTTATAAAAAAACTAAAGGTTAAATAATTGTAAGAAATAAAAAGAACCCGACCTTCTTAAGCTTGCAAGTGGATTCGTACGAAACAATTTCTTACATCTAAGTGAAAATGAACCGACGCCACAATAGCACCATGAATAAAACACGTGTGGAATTAAAATAGGATGTGGATGTCACTGACAAGATAATACACAGACAATGTGAAGTTTCTACTAATGGTAGGAAAGAGTCAGCTTTTTTTTTATTAAAAACCCTTCAAAATTTCTTATCAGTAATCTCTCCACCCCGGGCGTGGATTTTTTCAAAATTATAAGAATTGCCCATGAAGTTATTTCATACAATATAAACACATAAAATATCTATATAAAACTGTTTTTTCATATTTTTTTATTTGTAACACTATAGCTATTAAGCAAATAAAAATGGTTGACATCTATTTTGCAACAGAAGAGAAAAAGGTACTGTTTTGTTGATAACAACGCGGTCACCAGTGTTCATATTGAAAAGTAAAATAATTTCCTTCGCAGTAATGTAAATATTTATTAAGGGATATTTTGAGTATATTTGAGTTGATTCAAAAAAACTACTAAGAGTCTACTACCTGTGTGTGATCGTTTAGAATTGAATCGTAAAACACTCGTTAAATCACTTGAAGGCTAGGGAATAAAAATTCTAAATATGGGGCAAATTATTATATCTATATTAAAAAAAAGTTGTGGATATAGATTTATTAGAGAAAATCTTTTCAAGAGTGCACTCTAAGCGATAATGTATCGAGAGCATATAGTACGGACGTACTGCTGCTTCAAAGTGTGGCGTTGAAGCCATCCCCGGGATTTCCTGTAGTTTGTCACTAAAAAGCCTCAGTTCTGAGTTTAACGAGGCACAAGCAAATATATACTGTGTCCCTATATATTAAGACTAAAAACTTCTTGATATCGACATATATTCTGCCAATTCAAAGTCTAACTTAGTGCTATTGATTTGAGGTTCTATTTCTATTAAAGTAAGGATCTATTTCTATTTCTATCTTTTTATATTATCTATTTCTATTAAAGTAATAATTTGACGATCGACGAGCATATGGTCTAAGATAATAAAACTATGACTTTTGCTTCTATATTATTTTATAACTATACTTTACTCGCATTAACTTACGCGTAGGAATATATTTTAAGCATTTGCTTTTTGGCCAAGGTTATTAGATTTAGAATATTTAACTTTTAGATTTAGGTATTTAAACTTTCTTTCGTTTAGAAATATTATAATTTATACATAGTACATACATATATATATGGAAACTCGTACTTTTTTATACGATACTTTAGCAATATTATGATAATATATTTTTTTACTTTACATGTGCATTTGAGACTATATGTAAAATATTTTCGAATAATCCTAAAAATATTATGTGAATATACCTATAATATTTTTTAATAATCTTTGAAATTCCAAAAATAAAACCTTTAGCTGAAAACTTTACCTTAAAAGATATTAATTTTATTACAGTCAATTTCACATAACCTTCCATCAGTATATAATATGCATGACATTACGTTTTAACGGTTAGTATAGATTTCTCAGAGATGAGATATTTTCCCGCAGTAAAAAGTATCCTATATGTTGACCCGGGTAACCAGCTATCATCATACCAAATTTCATCAAAATCTGTTAAATGGTTTTCTCGTGATGCGTTCCCAGACAGACAGACAGACTAAAAATCTGAAAATTATAGATTCGACCTCAGTATCATTAATAAAGATTATTTCAATAAGATTTTCCAAAAAATATTTGATGTAAAGATTCGACTCAATTAGAATTTTATTATATAAGATATGTAATAAAAAATCTAATTACCAGTTTTTGACAGTGAATTTTTTATGTAAAACCTCTCTCGTTGAATATTTATGTTTAAAAAGAAATATCTAAATATCAACAAATCGCTTACGTCATTGTGAAATACGTTTTTTATACGTTAAACGTACGGAATTAAAATGGCTTTAGGTATGTAGGTAATGTATGTTTTAGATGTTATGTTCTTTTACTTTAAAAAAATTGTTGTTATGATTTTGTTTACAGGATTTGATCCAGCTAGCATAAACATCGATGGCGTAAATTTTTCTGATTACATTCTTGACAAAAACTCCCACAACCCTTTTGTGTTTATTCATAAAAAGTGCTTTAATAAAAATAAAAAGAAAGCAACAAGTGAAACCATAAATTTAAAAGAAACTAACGACAAAACTCAGCAGTACGACTACGAAAAGTTATGTGCCAATTGTTACAAAACCAAAGATATAAATGATTTAGACGAGAAAGATCCTGTACTTCAGCAAACAATCAAATTTGCAAAGGATATTATTCCTTTGACAATACCTGCTAGCACGAGCACGGACCCAGCTTATTACACAATCAAGTCTAAGAAAACTTCGAAGAGGAAACACGAGGCATGTGAACGTAATTTGAATTCTAACAAAGATGCTAAGATTGATAAAGGAAAATCAAAAGCTGCAGAAAATATAAAACAGGACAAATTAAAACGTAACAAAGGTACTACCAGTACAGAAGAATCTTTTAGTCGATCGTTCCAAGACAATACCATAGATGATGTAAATGAAAACCGTTCACTATCATATTCTTTATCTGAATTATCGGAGCATAAACATTCTAAAAAGGAGTGCCCCAATAAAAATAAAAAAGATGCCAAGCAAAACATAATTCTTGCTGAATCTTTTGAGGCGATTGCAACTGAATACATGAATGTATCTAGTGATGCAAATATAAAAATGCATCTTATGAATGAGAAAGATAAAACTTTGCTATGTGAAAATATAAGTTCACCAGTAGTGAAAGCTGTAAAGGAGTGTTTTTTAGATTTTAATAATGAGAATCAGGAAATTAAAGATATCTTTAAAGCTATTCAAAACCAAGCCATAAAACTCGATAATATTTATGAAAAATTATCAGATATTGATAACAAATTAGAAAATATTACGAATAAACAAAATTTAAAAGAGGAAGGAACGTTTCAAGAAATAAAATTCTCAAAATTAGAAGAAATAGGACGTGATATAATAAATGTTAAAGAATATTTAAGCTCTGAAGAAGAACTAGCTTACGTGGATTTAAAAAATCGCAATACAAGAACTACTTCTTTAACTACAGTTCTTAATCCAAAAGATTTAAGTAAAGCTGATAAATGTGACAGTCTAGCTCGAGGAGAAAATGTTTCGGAAAATTTTACAGCGACGCAATTGGGAATACAATTAGAACGTCCGAATCGTATCCCTGCAAGATTTTGTTGGACCGATTCTACCAAGAAACCTTTATAGTTTATAAACCATATTAACGTTAATATTTATATTTCTTATAAAATTATGTAGTTGTTTATTAATAATTAAATTAATTATTGATTTGTATCTATGTTTGAAAGTTTAGTAATAATCGTATATTTGCATTGATTATGAAGTTCTTTATTAAAAAATGAAACTCGTACGATCATTTTTTCTATCACTTATTTAACAATTTGCTATGTTTTGACAATAATAATTATAGATCTTTTGACATTGTAAATGCCAAAAAAAAGGTGTAGTCTAAAGACTTTGGGGTAACATTAGTTTATCATTTTCAATATCACGTTTGTAACATTTAACCATATTTATTGATAACTTGCAGAACCTGCGACTTTGCTCGCGTATAATCTACAAAAAAACCTCTTTTTCTTATATTACTAGCAACTCACCATTGCTTTATCCCGAGGTACTTTTAACGGTTAATATGAAATAGATCTATACATATAATAAAATTGTAACTAAGCCGAATCTGTAGATTAAATATTTTTTGGAAAATCTTATTGAAATAAACAATATTATCGATACAGAAACCGAATCTATAGTTTTTAGAATTTTTGTCTGTCTGTCTGTTACCGCATCACAGAAAAAATACTGAACGGATTTTGATGAAATGTGGTATGGTCATAGCTGATTATCCGGGTCAACATATAGGATACTATTTACCGCGAAAAAATATCTCATTTCTGAAAAAAAAAACAAAAACTGTAATGTATACATACTAATATGTAAATCCTAAGAATTTGGTTTTTGGTCATCTGAACGCGGGTGGAGCCGCGGGCAATGCTAGTGGTCTATAGATTATATATACATAGGTACAAAAAAACAGTTCTGAAATTGAAAAATTTTCATCCGGTTTTTTAGATTTTTCCTATCTTTTTTTATACTTAAATCATCATTGACACACCTCCAATGAAACAAAAAAAAGAATTATTTAAATCAGTCCAGCCGTTGTTGAGTTTTTGCGAGACTAACGAACGGCATTAGATTTTTATATATAGAAGATATATAAGCGACACCATCTTTTGGGAAATTTTATTACTAACAGTATTTTACATGTTATTTCAGATCATGATTTATCTGTGTACTAAATTTCGTCCAACTCCATCCCGCCTTGAAGAAGTAACATAACATACATAAATACACACAACAGCGTGATAAGATTGAAGAGTTCTAAGCCGTTTTTTTTATTTTCTTACTTTAAATATACATCGTAAGTTACTGACATAAGGCAAATTGAACAATCTATAAGGTATGCGAATCGACATCGCATGCCCGGCACCCATTTATCATCAGTATTGTTTCAGACCCAAGCCAGAGGTATCCGAGATATGTATCGATTCGGACCGACAATTCGATTACTTATATTGTATTAATAGATGACAAATGGTTTCTAACTGCCTTGATTGGAGTAGGCTGTCTTGTTTATTTGCTCTGAGATATTGCTCTATAACGTCAATTTTCCTTTCAACGCAACAACTGAGATCCAGACAGGTATTAAGAAGAATTGTGATTAATAATATCGTAAGATCTTATACTATACTAATATAAACTTGAAAATTGTGAGTGAATGAATAAGTATTTTTTCCTTTGTGTTGAAAAAGACTTTAGAAATTAATATATGAAAAAAACGGATTATTTTGTGAATTTATATTGATTTTTGGTTACAAATGCAGTAAATGATCACGGCCTACAGGAGGGAATAAAGTTATAAACTTATCTAAAGCTATTATACAGTTATTACAGACGACATGTACCCACAAAATGATATATTAATTTAAGAGAAAAGATAAATGGCAATGATGTACCGTATAAATAATATAAAAATATATATATTTAGTATTGTTATTGCTTATTGGATATTTTTATTTAAATGTCAAACATTTGCTAATGTGAAAAATCTAAGAAGAGACTTGAGTGATATTTATTATAAAGTCTACTAGCGAGTCGCCCTCGCTCTGCTCGGGTTCGTCCCTACTTATGTTTTAACGTTTAGTATAGATTTCTCAGAAATGAGATATTTTCCCGCAATAAAAAGTATCCTATATGTTGACTCGGATAACCAACTATCATCATACCAAATTTCATTAAAATCCGTCCAGTGGTTTTTCCGTGATAGACAGACAGACAGACAAAAATTCTAAAAACTATAGATTCGGCCTCTTTATCGATAATCATGTTTGTTTCATTAAGATTTTCTAAAAAATATTTAATGTACAGATTCGGCTTAGTTACAATTTCATTATATGTATAGAAAATAGCTTATATTCTGGCAGCACACAATCTACGTGATAGAAGCTGCACGCAAAAAATATATCATTATAACTGTAAAAAGAGCAGTTGTTATATTTAGTTTGCTACTAGCATCATAGTAAAACTTATGTAGTGTTAATATTGAAAATAGCACGTATTAGTATGTTAAACTGATTTTTGTAGTGTTTGTAAATGGCGACAAATTCTTTTGCCAGTTTTTTCAGATCTGAGGCTTTTTCTTTCCGAATCGGTTGGCGTTAGACTCTTGACGCTTAGTAAAAATTGTAACAATTTAATACTGAATAAAATATTTTGAATTTGATGGGGAAAACGTAAATTATTGTTATTTTTGGCAACTATTTTACCAGGTACTTTTTCCTTAACATATTTCCACCGGCCTAATTCTCTTGAACTTTTTCTAACTCTATGCAAAATATATCATATCCTAGGCCTATAAGCTATAATTATTTTTTTATTTATTTTAATAGCAAATATGTAGGTCAAAAGTGTTACTTAATGTAATGTGACGTGGAATTTTTACGTTACTTCACGGGTGCTTCAGCTGTGCTTATTACTGTTGAAAGCTGCTAGTCACGGCTTTCTGTAGGAAAGTGATTAATTTAGCTTCGGAAATTCTATTTGAACATTAATTTGGAACGCGTCGTCCTTTCAATGGTTGTATGATGGATATTTCTTATCTGATATGATGATTTTGTACTAACAATTTTTATTTGCTTGGAATTGTTTCAGCTAAAATCATTTTTTATTTCTTTATTTTAAACTAGCGTTTTTCTGCGGCTCCGCCTGCATAGTACATTAATCACCAACATATCATATACTAAAACCTTCTCCGAAACACGCTGCATCTTATGGTATGAGTATTATTCCTATCGGTTCAATAGTTATCGCAGTATAACCGAACAAAAAAATCGGCTCTCCATTTATTATTATAGATTTGCCCTTAGAAATATTTATTCAAAGCAATTTACTATTTAAATAAATCAACGAAACCGATTTTATGCTAATTCAAGCAAGTAGTATATAATTCAGATGGTAGTATAAAATTTGACACCATGGAGCTGTTTAGATTCTAGTAGTGTCGTGCTTCGCAAGAAAAGCTACTTTATTTGTTTTAACTTTAATATGAAGGCTCACGTGCGTCCAGGTAGGTGGATTTTCGTCACAATTTCATGGTCTTTTTTTGCGCATAATCCTAATTCTTTTTGAAAATAAAAGTAGTTTAAGTTACTCCTTATAATATCAGGTATCTCTCAGTGAAGGTTCCGTCAAAATCGGTTCAGCCGTTTCGGAAATTACCCGGAACAAATAGACAGAGAGACACACGAACAAAAAATTTAAAAAATGTTTTTTATAGGTGCCGTGATATACTTTTTTTATAGGTGCCGTGATATACTTTTATCTTTTATTTATTACTAGCGCCTTACCCTCGCTTCGCTCGGGTTCGTCCCTAGCTTGCTTCTCCATACAAAATTTTATCCCCATTTTCACCCCCTTAAGGGATGATTTCCGGGATAAAAAGTATTCTATGTCCTTCCCAAGATCTTTTCTTACCAAATTTAATTTAAATCGGTTCAGTAGATCCAGAAATACCTCCTACAACGTCACAAACTCACAAACTTCACCTCTTGATAATAGTATAGATTTGGACATTACAAAAAGACACTTTAATTTTATTTATTTGTATAGATGAGAAACGCTGTCGTTTAGACCAAAAATTTTAATTTTTAAATAGTAAAATTCATGAAACTCTTTACAGACACTCTTGACACTGACTGCCTTTGATACTTATATCCTTTTTTTTTTAATTTAACAAGATACTAAATTTGGTTTTATATTTTGTGTGTATGTTACGGTACGTAATTTTCATGGTTATTTTTTTAAGTATGGGTTATACTTCGAAAGTGATTCCATGTAATATAAATATTAATAAAAAAAATTAACGCCCAGTAAATAACTTTTCTTAAAAATCATCAACATCGTAAAAGAAGGGATAAAAATGAGTATGCCATCATTTTTCCTATCCTAATACGAAAAATATTTTAGCTTTTGTTGAAATTCATTATCCTCATCTCCATGCGTATTTTTCAAATTACTTGGGGTCTACGCATTACGTCCATACAGCATTGGTTATAGCAAATATTTTCCAACCAGCTGCCTGACGTCAAGCTCTTTGAGAATGCTGTTGTTCGCCCACAATTGAGCAAGGGACTTAAGGAGCGCTGTCCCGAGATCCTTTAGTCGTTTTCTACGACACCTACAGGAGGTGATAGGGTAGCCCTATTCTAATCCGGGTGCTACACGGCTTAAATTTTGTAGTGTTAATGTGCTTGACGTTTATCTTTTTTATTTAAAAAAATATAGAAGGTAAATCCCAACGAGTCCATTGTCCAGATAAAATAAATGGTATAGATAAAAAACTAACTAGTAAATAAAATAATTCTATTTTTTATGTTAAAACTCAATTGATAGAGTTAATAACTGATAATTTAAAAAAAACAGCCGTTAGAAATAATAGCAAGCCCTTATAGCAAAATTGAAGTTATTTCACTATGTTAAAATTATTTATTGCAGTTTTGTTTACATTTGAATTTCAATTCGGTTTTATCAAATCACATCTGTGCGAATTATGAATTGATTTTTATATTTATTAATTAAATAATAATAGAAGAGTTACACCTACAACAAACTTCTACTTATATATAAAA